GTGCGGGCTGGCGGTGTGTTGCAGGGGGGCACTAAGCTGCAGCACAGAAGTATAGGAGTGAATGTGGGGCTTTTGGCCAGCTCCCAGGCCCGCCCCCAAATTGTACCCGCCGAGAGGCACCAGTCACCCTGTGCCAGATTCTTTGAAGGATGCCCAGACGTGTGAGAAAATAAGCAAATTTAAGTTCAGCCTCAAGCTTGTTCCCCCACTCCCACTGCCTGGCCCCTTCTGCAAGGATGTAAGCACTGTAACATATCAATTAGTTTTTGAAATTGGGTGTACACTGTTCAGAAAAGATTTCAGGAGGAGTGCCTGAAATCCAAAAAGCTTGAGAGCCTTTGGACTTTTCCAGACTTTGCATTGTTCACAGGACATTACGCAAGCACCTTGTTCAATTATTAAGTCTCTCGAAGGCGAGATTTAAATCATGTCAGTATTGCTTTTACTGTCTGATGAAGAGAGGTTAGCTTTGAAGTGAATGAGATAGGAGTATATTGAAAGGAAGCACACATTTGTATAAAATTGTCATTTTCACTAATTGATTTCCCTCATATTTTTTTAAAAATAAGGAGAGCACTTGCAAGTGGTGAAAACTGACCACCCAAAGATGTTAATGAGAACAAGCGTCCATGAGTACAACTTGAGTTGATGTATATAAACCACAGCGCCGAGGGGAGCAGCTGTTACCACGGCAAACAGCTGAAATAAACCTAGAAGAAAGGGGGCTTGCAGATAACAGTCCTTGCTAGTCAAATGGCTTTTAAATACTCTTTGTGTGAAGATACATTGTTGTTAACATCTGCTCAAAGTTAATCTAAAAGAGTTGTTTGCAAATAGCAAAGCTTTTAAGCACCTGCTGCCTTAGAAAAGATGAACTTTTGTGCGTATATAATGTGCTGTTTTTCCTATTCCCAAAGGGTCATAAGTGTACCACCCTACACAAGCACAAAAAAGGACTTTGTGAAGAGAACTTAGGGGAAATTGGATAGTTATAGAATTCCACCTCCCCCTCCAGCTCCCATATTGGTGATATCACTCCCATAATAAACCCCCTCTATGGCTAATATTTCATCTCCTATAGGAACAGCTCCCCCATGCTAATACCTGCACAGGTCTTCTTAAATATAAGCACGACTAACAGGCCCTGACCCTTTCAAAGCTGCCTGCTTGGTGGCAGTAGAGCACCAGTGTGCCAGGTATGCAAGGGATGAGACCTTTCTTGAACATTGTCAGCTTGCATGCCCTCATCTCTTTGCTCACAAGCATCCAGGATTTCTAAGGCATGGAGGGCCTTGTATGAGCCCTTTTTCTTGGTGTGAACTTTATCTAGTAGGAGAGTTTGCTTCATATCAGTTGGTCAAGTAAAATATTTTTTTTAAAAAGAGTTTATGGTGTTTGCAGTGCAATTTTCTTTGCCGCCTAATTTAAATGGGCCTGCTTTATTTCTTCCCATTCTTTCCCTACTGTGATTTCACTGCATTTGGCGTACACTCCTTATCCCTCCGGGGTCTGAGATGTGCATGCATAATGGAGCAAACTCAGTCCTGAGCTAATTATCAGCAAACCCAGTGCCTGAGATTTGTTGCTGTTGTCCTAATGGCCTGAATTATAACTGGAACTAGCTGGAATAACACAAACATGAAATTAGATTTTAAGAATCTAAAAAACAGGAGTAAGTTCTGCTCTTGAGTTTCATGGCTGTGAAGGAGGAGAGAATCTGGGGTGGCAGGATAAAAGTTTACCACAGAGGTTTACTGTAAATTTTGTGTCCTTGACCTGGCATATTCTTGGCTCCACTTTCCCAGTCTACCTAAATGTGTGCTAGTTAAGAGAAGAGAAACTGCAACAGATTTGCCCTTTTGATCCCTGATCATTGAGAACTGCAGCCAATTCTAGACAAGTAGTGGAAGTGCAGGTTTTTTGTCACCTCTATTGTCTGCCTGTACTGCTGAATAGGAAGAATACAAAGCTGCACTGATTTTAAATGGTTAGCTTTCTGACCCTTTACTTACCGCAAGAAACATAATATACAGTATGTAAGAATATCCTAGAGTAAAAGAGCTAAAAAGAACATTTCAGATGTATTGTCGGATAGACAAATATATAGTAGTATTAACATAATTTGGGCAGTTAATGCAACATTTTCTGCTTCTGACAGAATTGTCACTGTGCTCCCCTGTGCTATAGAGCCTGATCCAAAACCTATTGAACTTAATAAAAGGATTCCTGTAGACTCCGGTGGGTTCTGGACCAGGTATGTTATTGGATGGAAAAGCAGTGCAGCAGCATGGAGAAATGATGATGAAAAAATGGTCATTTGCAGATGATATCTGCTGGGTGTGTATAAGGCTGCAGTATATGTGCTTAGTGTAGGTAGAGCAACCATGGAAGTGAAATGGATCTCTTAACTCAATGTTTTAGGCTACTGTGTTGTCCAGAGCAGACTTTATTTGCAATGGCTACTGTCTGAGGCTGTGGACTGTAATATAGCTTTGGTGTGGACTCAGCCTCACAGAGACATAGGACAGGAGGTACAGATCTCCTGAATCATCAAGTCCAGTCACCTGGCATTACAATCAACAACACGATGTAATTCCAGTCATGAATGTATCCAAGTCCATTGCTCACTTACACTTACTGGAAGGTTATTCAAGAATCTCCCTGCTTACACGATTAGAAACTTTCTTCCTATTCCTAGCCAAAATGTATTCGTGGCCAGTTTATACAATTTACCCTTTTGCCAATGTTGTCCACTAGCTGAAATAATGCCTCTTGCTCCCTGGTGTTTAGTACACAGACATAGTTATTGAATAGAGTCATATCCCCTTCTCAGTTGGCATTCTACTAGATGAAACAAGGTGAGCACTCTTGGTCTCTGTTCATGAGTTAGGACTCTCCTGTCCATTCCCCTGATCTTCCTAGCAGCCCTTTTCTGTACCTGTTCCAAGTTTGAATTAATTTCTGTTGAACATGGGTGATCAGATTGCAGTGTTCCAGATGAGGACACCATGCCTTAGACAATGGCATTAATATTTCTCTGTCTGCTGGAAATACCTCACCTGTTACATCGTAGAATTGCATCTGCGTTTTTCGCAGGCACATTGCATTAATGGTTCATAGTCATCCTGTTATCAGCTAAGATCGTTTTCCTCTGCTGTCATTTCCGACTGATGATCTCCCAGCTTATAGCAATAATTCTTGTTAGTCTTCTGCTTGGTACTGCTGAGTTTCATGCTGTTCCTGTTATTTTAGTCATCAAATTTATTGAGTTCTTCCTTCTTAACTAATAATTCCCATGTCCAAACAACAGTTTAATGTGTACAACAGTGATGTACATCTGGAATTAGTTCTGTTGCGTACGTGCATGCTGCTTGGCTCTAGAGGGCATTGTTCTCACTGACATGCACAGTGTTGGAACTAAAATCTGTGGTTACATTCACTCCAAAGGCATCGGCAACACTGTCAGCAAGCAGGAATCGTATCCAGAAGAGAGCTTAGATCCCTGTAGAGATGATTGTGCCCCCTACTCAGTTGATACTGACCTGAGTGTCAGTCTCTCTATGCATATAGATGGTATTCCACAGATGTTGACAGTACAATTTTAATATTATCTATATGAAAACAACTTCCCATATGTTAAGCAGAAAAACATCCTATGGATGCTAACAGTCTCTCAACTCAAATATGTAACACCATCATGAATATATACTCTGTTCCCACATGCCAATAGACAAAGATACAACTTTAACCAGTCCGGTTTTATGGCTTCGTTTTTTAATGTAACTCCAGAGAGGGTCAGGGGTATGAAACTAGAATATGATTACATGATGTAGTCACTGGGGGACCAGGCCCATATTTTTTTACAGCAAGAAAAAATGCTGTATTCCCCCTGAACATTGTTACAGGGGGATCAAAGGGTAGTATTTTTTTACAGTGCCGTGAACTCTTTTAAAAAATTATTCAATAGGACTTTCATTTTTTTTGACAAAAGCATGAAGAAAATGGGATATTCAGTCACTTGTTCTTTTTATGTTAATGGAGTACAGGAATATATAGCACCTTAAAGGGTTAAGTACCCTCTAAATCTAACCAAGAATACTAACTTTTTAACTTTTCAGTATCAGCATAACATGCATGTCTAGTTGGACATAACTGTTTAAAAAAGGAATCCAGTTACGTCAGCTCAGACTGTGTAAATGTATCTTATTTTTTCATGTATTTGTTTGTCTAGTGAATATATAGATAAATACACTCATAATGACTGTATCCCTAACCATACTGATAAGAGCCAATCTCATCTATCACAGAGGGTCCTTAAAATTTTACAGTAGTCTTTGCTCTGCTCCATAGAGTGCTGCCCAGAGGAATGATTCTTGGAGTCAGAGTGACACTCAGTGGCAAGATCGAACAAACAAATCACAGTTCTTTAGATTCTTTCTGTGGTCCCCACTGGTCATACAAATTAGAAATCTTAAATCTTAGTTAGAACCTTACCAAAACAACTTATTTGATAATGTAGTGCATAGAGAGTATAATCCAGACAGCTGTTGCAATAGAAACACTTGTAATTTTAGAAGGGTTAAAAACAGCCAAATTGTAATTTCTGAGGTGCAGTATTGAATTTCACCAGCTGGAGTTAACATAATTTTTCACCATGTTGTAATTTATATATTTGCAAGATAGATGCAAGCTCCAAACAATGTTCATAGACGGTTTAGCGGTGCATAGATGGCTGTTGTATGTTGTGTGTGTGTAAAAACGAAATTGATATCTGTCTGGATTCTGCTAAATGTACAGCATTCTGTTTAATTTTATCTGAGTATCTGGGGAAAGAAAACGCTTTTTCTCTTATATATGAGAAAGAATAATTTTTCATTGATCAGTGCCAGAAGTCTTCCTGAGTCTATTGCTGGTCAAAACGTAAGTCCAAGAATGGAAAGAAATGACGAAGTGTTCCCTAAAACTCTATTTTGAAAATAATTTCCATCTCTTCCTTACAGGGACCAGTTGCATCAACAATGTCTATGCGATCCATTCTAACGAGTGGACAGTGCGTCTCACTGCCTCCGCCTCCGCCACCACCACCAGGACCTCCTCCTCTCTTTGATACAGAAAGCTCCAAGGATGAAGCAACTGCATCTCGCTCAGCCTTATTTGCCCAGCTTAACCAGGGAGAGGCAATTACCAGAGGTGAGAGGAAAATAATTCATTCTGTCACTGTTTGGCCAACTGAGAGAGCTACCGCTACATGTACTTAACCAAATTCTGTCTGTGATCACACCTAGAGATTGCCAGGTCAGCATTTTTGAGCTTAGAATACTAAATTTGATGATTAAATTCAGGTTAAATACCCAAATAAATAGCTTAATTTTCAGCGGAACTCTGTACCTGTAACTCCCATAGAAATAAGTAGGACCTGAAGGTACTCAGCACTTTTGAAATTCAGGGCTCAGTATAAATTTAGGCACCATATTACAGGCATCAAAAATAGCCCTGTAGAACTGGAAGTGGAACACAAGTGGAAAGATTATCTAAATTCTCCATAAGTCCCAAAATTTTACTTAAGCAGCCCTGTAAGTATCATGTAAGTGTATAAAGGTAAAATAGGATTCAAGTCTTAAGTATCATGGGCCAGGCCAGCACTTGGATTGGAGACCACCTTGAAACTGTGGCACTGTAGATACAAGACCAGGACTTATGGCTGAATGCTTGGCAAATATTAGTCCATAGAAACCAAATGAATGATAAGGCTTCATTCAGCCCATCATTGCTGCTGAGTTGATGAATGGGAGTGAAAGGAAAGGATTATGAACACTCAAGTTTGTGATTCTTGTTCATGCTGACTTCAGTGGCAGTGTCCAGATGTAACATAGACCAGAATTTGCCCACTCTGCAAATTCACACACAGTATGCTGATTTGTACTGAAATGTTATTGCGTTAGATAAAGAGGTGCCTATTACTATACCAGTCTGTAACGTTGTCAGTACATGTAGGTACAGCTTTTAAGCTTTTTCCAATAAGACTAGACAATCTTATTTAGAATATTTGACTTTGAGTTGAAATACATGCAATGAAATAAGACTTTTAGCACAAGGTCTTATGGGGAGGGGTTGCAATACAAGATGTGGGTAAAAGAGATGATTTAATTGTCACAGATGAAACTATAAAATGAATGAAGTGGCACAGTACATGGTTCATTGCAGCTATAACAAGTATTTAGATGTGTGTGTGGATAGATGCCAGTAGGTATTGCTGAGTTGCTTTGTGACAGGCCATCTACAGTAAAATAACTTTAGTTCAAACTTTTTTGAAGGTATGAGGGCAAATAGTTCCCTTTGTGGGTAAATACTTAAAGTAAAAGTGTAGGGAAATTTTTAATACTGCTACAACCAAACTAATTAAAATATTCTCTTCCCTGTTTACACATCAACCTTCTTAGGAGCTTAGCACTGGAAAAGAGTTTTTTTTTCACTTGAGTGCCTCTAATTATTTAGGGCTCCGACATGTCTCTGATGACCAGAAGACTCACAAGAATCCTAGTCTACGTGCCCAGGGTCCACCAGTGCGTTCTCCTACAAAAAGTCATACGCCAAGCCCCACTTCTCCCAAGACTCCTCCTCAGCAGAGCCATTCACCCGTGTTAGAACTAGAAGGAAAAAAATGGAGAGTGGTAAGTTCAGGTCATGTCTATCAGGTATCTTACACACATACAATGACCACTTGCACAGGCAACTTCCTCAGAGGGATGGCAATCTCAGTGCTGTTGCTAGGACAGAGTGGTTCTGCACTGCCCCGTCTGGCCACAGATTAGCCCTTGACATTCTATAGGATTTAGAGTTAGTTCATTTATCTGTGAGATTAGGACAATAATTTACCTAAATTGGAGAATATAGTTATACATTCCTGAATCAATACTTCATTTCTTCACTCAGTCTAAATGACCCGCAGAGAAAAATTAAAGAGAACTTCTATTAAGGTTTCATCTTGCAAGGTGTTCTTAGATGTGAATGATACTCTTACGATACAGTGGGGACGTTATTTCTCTCTATTAGCAGATGGGAATATTGCTGCTTAAGTACTTATATTTTAAGTATCACCATCCCATATTTAATTAGTTAAAAACAGAGAAAATATTTGTTCTCCATCTTCTTACCCAGCCTGTAGAAGAAATAGTTTGATTGGTTTAAAGATGTTAATGTTGGTTTTTGTAGGGACGTGCAAATAAGTTATTCAGGGAAAATTATGAGGCTGCTTGGCCGTGCTGGTTATAAGAAGGAAAAGACAAAATGTAGTTTAGATAGTTGTAAGTTTGCATTGGAATATCATGAGCTCTTGTTTCCATGGATCGCAGTTCACATGAAATTATATACAGTGTTTGCATCAGCTGGCCTATGCTAGTTTAAAAACACTTAGAAACTGCTGGTGTAATCAGAGTCTTTTTATTGAAGTGGGATGTCCCTGAGCCCTTGGTACATTACAAATGAAAGGAGACGTATTCATGTTCTAATCATTGTTGTATACTGTGCTGCCCACACCTAACACCAATGCATTATGTAATAGTATGGCAAAAAATTGTTCTCTCTGAAGGAGCCTACTTGTTCTAAAATTGAGTGGTAACCAAGCAACTGCACTGGTGTAACTTTAAATAGTTGTATGTATAAATACCTAATTCCAAAACAAACAGGCTTTTTGACTTGGTCTGTACTAAGTTCTCCAAAATGCAGAACTCCACAGCACTAAGCCCTCTGCACACCTGCCACTCAAGGTCTCCTCATGGGCACCATCAGTTAGTTTCAGTCAGCCTTCAGTGAAGGTGGAGTGGACCCTCAGCAAGTTTGCAGATGACACCAAGCTGGGGGGATTAGTAGATACCCTGTAGGGTAAGGCTAGGATTCAGAGAGACCTTGACAAATTGGAGGATTAGACTGAAAGAAATGTCATGAGGTTCATTACGGACGAGTGTGAAGTTCTACACTTAGGACGAAACAATCCCATGCACCAGTACAGGCTGGGGGCTGACTGGCTGGGCAGCAGCTCTTCAGAAAAGTACCTGTGTGTTACAGTAGACAGAAAGCGGAATATGAGCCAACAGTGTGCCTTTGTTGGGAAGAAGGTTAACAGCATACTAGGCTGCATTAGTAGGAGTGTTGCCAGCAGACTGAGGAAAGTGATTCTTACTCTCTATTTGGCACTGGTGAAGCCACATCTGGAGTACTATGTACAGTCTTGGACCTCCCACTACAGAAAGGATTCAGACAAATTGGGGAGAGTCTAGTGGAGGGCCACAAAAATGGTTATGGGGCAGGGATACATGACTCCTCAGGAGAGGCTGAAGGAACTTAGTTTATTTAGTTTGGGTAGAAGATGACAGCCTGAGAACCCCAGAAGGCAGAG